AAAGTTGGCAGTACAGCGCCTAGCGTCGTACGAGTCAGAGCCTGGTGGGCAGCGTCGAAGATTTGGTTAGCCACGTTGTTAATAGTGTCATTGGGGCCACCGTCAGTGCAAAACTGCAAACTGTTGGTGTTTGCGTTGGCCCAAACACCGCGAGGGGGTGGTTGCGCTTTCGGCGGCATCGTACGAGTGTGGTCAGAAAGAAAAGAAGAAATCTGTGTAGTAGTGGAGTCAAATTGATTTAACACAAAGGAAGAAAAAGCTGAAGGAGAGAGACGGCAGCTCTACATATCGTACGGAGGGAGCGTTTGCTCTCGTGGAAATCCTCCTTCACTAGAGCAAACAAACGCCGCTGCTCCACCGCAAGTTAGGCAGCCGCGTGCTCCTAGGAAAACAAACAAACGCAAACATGTCCGTACGAGTGGAGGAGGGGAGTATTGTAAAGGGCTGCGCCCGTGATCTCTACTGAAGAGGATCACGTGATCTTCGACCACGTGATATACCTTCTGTACGGACACGTGATCAGAAGCGAGCAGGTATAAGAGAAGTCTGTACTTAGTTATCTTCTCTTTTTCTTATCTTTTAGCTTCTGTACGATAGGTAGAAGCATACTCATTCGCTAGGCCTCTCCGCCCATAACAAATAGACTAAAAAAAAGAAACTAATAAAGTAAATAATCCTAGCTAGTGATAGCTAACATAAAGAAATAGCGTAGCTAGTTTAATAAGAATAGCGATACTATTATAACTAGTAAAGTATAAGATAAGTCTAAGAATAAGAATAGAAAACTCTAAGAATAGTATAATAACGGACTCTCTATAGAAGAACGTAAGAAGCGTTATAATAATAAGGTATGTCTCTAATATAGTAAAGTAGAATACTTCTATAGAAATTACCTAAAATATAAAGTTAGATAAGGAGTGGTTAAGATTAGAATAATTTAGATACTAATACTATACCTAACTAAGAAGCTAGACGAAACCCTTAGCGACCTAGACCTATATAAAGAAGTAAGATAAGCTACTAATAAGGTATTTAAGCTAGTATAAGAGGTAATAGAACTCTAAGACTTTAAGTAGAACGCACTACTACTAATAGATTAGTAGATTAAAGGGGTAGAAGTACTACGCCGCCTAAGAAACTAACAGTGCTAGATTTATAGAACTAATATACACTAAGCTAATAATTATAATATTAATAGGTAAGTTATAATCTTAAGACTCTAAGTAGATAAGATTATCTATAGGGCTATCTAAAAATAACCTAGGTTTAAAGAATCTAATAATAAGAAGATACCTTAGACGTTTAAGGAACGAATAGAGTAACACGAGCGCCTATATTAGGTTAACTACCTAAAATATTATAATTACTACTTAAGGAAGTAAGAAGAGACTAGAGACAATAAGGATAATTACTACTATACTAATCTATAGCATAATAAGTATCGTATGTGATATTACTATATATACTAGCCTAGAGAAAAAAAAGCTTATAAGGAGCTGTGCTAGATTAAGTGCACGATTAATTACTAATTCTATAAGAAATAGTAATAGAATGTTAAAAGAGTAGACGACTACTATTATAGCATAATTTCTGCAGAGAAATATATAGCAAAAAACTATAGAATATATAGAGTCTAAGTACGGGAAACGCTAGTAGAGTATAGTAAACTCTTATAGATATATTATAGGAAGGGTTGCGCTATATACTAATAATAGTTTAAGAATACCTAATAAGTAGATAACTACTACTATAGCACCCTATCAGCGAATATTTATGTAACGGGCTGAACGCCCTTTGGATAGCTCCTCGATGGAATCTCGGCCTACTCGCAGAACCCGGGTGCTGTCTCGAGCACCCGGATTCTCTGCGCACCGCCCGAACGACGTTCAGACGACAGCCGCAGGACCCAGAAGCTGCCTCGTGCACCTAGACTTCACCGGTCCGATTGTTACTCGGGTAACCAGCTTGTATATAGACAGCTACGTAGCTTGGGAGCTTAGCTCCTCATCGAATACAACCTCTTGTATACCTCGCGATTGCTCCCTAGAGCGCAGCCCCTTACA